AAAGCAAGAAAGCAAGAAAGAAAAATAAAATAGAGGCCAGGGATATAACTCAGTGGCACAGCACCTGCCTGGCAAGCACAAGGTCCTGAGTTCATTTCTGGTACAAAAAAAAAAAAAAAAGAGAGAGAAAAGAAATTAAAAATTAAGTTATGTGTTATATTTAAACACCTGTTATAAAGTACTCTATATTTTCCCACAGGATTTTTGTATTTCCTAAGACACGCAGAAATAATGTAGAATTAGTTTTTCATTTCCTTCTCTCCTGCCCTAGAGTATATGACAGGGCACTGTATCCCAATACATTTATAAGAACAAAGCCTACAACTCTGTGAAAGCAGTGATCATTTCCCTTTTCCCTTTCTTCAGCGCAGGGGATCAAACCCAGAGCAGTGTGCGTGCTAGGCATGTGCTCCACTGCCAAACTGCAGCTGCGTCCTCAGCAGTGATCACTTCTAGTAACTGCCTCTTACAGCCTTCCACATACTTGTGCTAGGTGACAACTGGCATTCAGGAAGTACTTGCTGAATTTTATTGGGGAGGATATGTATTTTATTTCTTCTGTCCTTTTCAAATCTCATAAAGTTCTTATTTCATAGTTATTTTTTGAGACAGGGTTTGCTACGTAGCTCTGAAGAGTCCCAAGCCCTTGGGCTCAAGCAATCCTCAGGCTGATTTTGCCTCAGCCTCAAGTAGCTGGGATTACCAGCGTGTACCACTGCGCCTGGTCCGGTGAAGTTCTCATATTTTAAATACTCCACTGCTTTCCTATTCCCAAATTAATCTTTTTGCCCAGGCAATTCCTTACGTTAGGGTCGATTATGACAAACTGAGAATTAAATAATTGATTTTTTATAATTTTATTTTAAAGGAAAAACAAAACTTCAAAACATTGCATAGTTATCTTTAAATTACTTAGAGTACAAGATACCAGCATGTAGTTATCCAAACATTAGCACAAACCTTTCTTTTCAATGAACTAAGAGAAATTAGTAGTACAACCATTTTAACCATCATATATACAAATATTTTTTTTTGCTTTTCCCTTTCTCCATTCCCCCAACATAGTTTCTCTTTCCTTTTGAAGTTTCTTCCCATTTTACAATGTCTGCTGCATATTTTGGATCTTATTTACTCTTTCAACTTCTCACACTAGGGAGACAATATGTATTTACACATGTGCATCTGGTTTACTTCACTTATGAGTATGGTCTCAAATTGCATCAATTTACGTATAAAAGTCTCCATTTTATGCTGCTTTATGGCTGAGTAATACTCCCTTATATAAAAAGACCAAAACTTTTTTATCCATTCCTCAGTTGATGGACATTTGGGTTGTTTCCAAGATGTAGCTATTACAAATAGTGCCGCTATAAACATGGGTGCACATGTATCATTGTGGTATGATGTTTTTAATTCTTCTGGGAAGATACCCAGAAGGGGAATAGCTGGGCCAAATGGGACCTCCAATCCTAATTTTTGAGGAATCTCCACACTGATTCCCACAGTGTTTGCACCAGTCTACGTTCCCACCAACAGTGGAGAAGACTTCCTTTTTCACCACAGCCTCTCCAAAATTTGCTGTCGGTTGATTTCTTTATAAGAGCCACTCTTTCTGGGGTGAGACGCAATCTCAGTGTTAATTTGCATTTTCCAAATGCCCGGTGACATTGAACATTTTGTCATATATTTATTTTGTCTGTATTTTTTCATCTGAGACGTGTATTCATCTCAACTGCCCCTGTTTGGACTGGCTCTTTAAATTTGGGAGGTCTGATTTTTTTTTAGTTCTTTATAAGAGCCATGTTCTTAGTAGTAATCCTTTGAGGAACATACACTTTGAGGAACAGCTGGCAAACATTTTTTCCCGTCTTGTGGGTTGTCTCTTCACTCTATTGGTTTCTCTTGCTGTGCAAAAGCTTTTTAAAAGGATGAGATCCCAGTTGTTGCTTCTTTGTGATAGTTCCTGTACAATAAGGGTTTTATTCATAAATCTTTGCCTACACCAATGTCTTCAAGAGGTTTACCAATTCTTTTTATTTTTATTTTTTATTTTAGTTTACCAATTCTATCTTCCAGCAGATTTAACGTTTCTGTTTTAATATTTCGATCTTTGATTCACTTTGAATTCAGTTTAGTGCATGGTGAAAGATATGGGTCCAATTTTAACATCTGGCATGTGTAGAGCCAGTTTTTACAGCACCATTTATTAAAGAGGCTTTCTTCCAGTGAATGTGTTTGGCAGCTTTGTCAAAAATAAGGTGGCTGGGGCTGGGGATTTAGCTCAGCAGCACAGCACCTGCCTAGCAAGTGTGAGATCATGAGTTCCATTCCCAGTACTGGAAAAAACAAACAAAAAAATAATAAGGTGGCTGAGTCAGGTCTGGAGTTGTTTCTGTATCTTCTAGTCTATTCCACTGATCTTCAGTTTTTTGTTTTTGGGGTTTTTTTTGCCAGTACCATGCTGTTTTTATCACCATAACTTTGTAGTGTAATTTCAAGTCAGGGGTTGTGATGCCCCCACTTGCCTTTATTGCCCTGAACTGCCTTTGCTATCTGAGGTCTCTTCTGGCTCCAAACAAATTTTAGAGTTGTTTTCTCTAATTCTGTGAGATATGGTGTTGGAATTTTGATTGGAATTGCATTAAATCTGTATAACCATTTTGGAAGTATGGCCATTTTCATTCCATTGGTTCTTCCTACCCAACAGCAGGGATATCTTTCCATCTTCTTATATCTGCTTCAATCTCCTTTTTCAGAGTACAGTAGCTTTCAATGTAGAGGTCTTTTACATCCTTCATTAGATTGATTCCTAGGGTTGTTTTGTGCTTTTTTTTTTTTTTTTTTTTGGATGCTATTGTAAAAGGTGTTGCTTCCTTAATTTCTCTCTCAGTGAGTTATTCTTATACAGGAATGCTATTGATTTTTGAGTGTTGACTTTGTATCCAGCTACACTCCTGAACTATTTATTAAATCTAGCAGTTTTTTAGTGGAGTTTCTGGGGTCTTCTATGTAGAGTATCATGTCATCTGCAAATAATGATAATTTAATTTCTTCCTTCCCTTATTCCTTTTATTTCTTTCTCTTGACTAATTGCTCTAGTTGAAGAGTGGAGACAGGGGACATCCTTGTCTTGTTCCTGACTTTAGAGTGAAAGCTTTCAGGTTTTGTCCATTTATTATGATGCTGGCTGTTGGTTTGTCATAGATGGCTTTTACCAGATTGAGATAAAGACCATCTGTTCCAATTTTCTGTAGGGTTTTCATCATGAATGGATGCTGCACTTTGTCAAAAGCTTTTTCTGCATCTGAGATGATCATATGATTTTTGTCCTTGGCTGTTAATATATTACACTTATTGATTTACATATATTGAACCATCCCTGTACCCCTGGGATGAATCCCACTTGGTCATGGTATAGAATCTTCTTGATGATTTGCTGCATTCTGTTTGCCAGTATCTTACTAAGGAGTTTTGCATCTATGTTCATTAGAGAGACTGGCCTATAATTCTCTTTCTTAGTTGGGTTTTTCTCAGGTTTTGGTGTCAGGGTAATGCTTGCTTCCAGGAATTAATTTAGGAGTATTGCTTCAACTTCATTAAAAAGTTTGAGATGTAGTGGTATTGTGTCTTCTCTAAATTTCTGGTAGAATTCAGTAGTGAATTGGTCAGGTTCTGTACTTTTCTTTGTTGGTAGGTTTTAAATTACATCTTCAATTTCATTGATTGATACTGGTTTATTTAGGATTTTATATCTTGATTCAACGTTGGTAATTCATATGGATCTAGGAATCTCTCCATTTGTTCATTTTCCATCTTAGTAAAAGTTTTCCAAGTATAGATGATCATAATTTCTGCAGGGTCTGCTATGATTTTACCCTTTTCATTCCTAATTTTGTGGATTTGAGTCTTTTCTTTCCTTTTTTTGTTAAGGTTGGCTAACGGTTTGTTGATTTTATTTAATCTGTTAAGGAACCAACTCAATTCATTGATTCTTTGTATTGTTTTTTTAGTTTCCAATGCATTAATTTCTGCTCTGATCTTTATAATTTCCTCCCTGTATGTGCTTTTGGCTTAGCCAGCTCTTCTTTTCCTAGAAGTCTGAGGTTCACTATTAAGTTGTTTATTTGCGCTTGCTCTATTTTCCTGAGATGGGTATTCACTGCTATAAATTTCCCTCTTAGGACTGCTTTCATTGTGTCCCATAAGTTCCGGTGTGTTATACTGTCATTATCACTTAACTGTAGAAACTAATTGCTTCTTTAATGTCATCTGTGTCCCACTGGAATTATTATTATTTTTTTTTTTTTTTGGTTTTTCTCCGGTACCGGGAACTGAACTCACGACCTTGCACATGCCAGGCAGGCGCTTTTGCCGCTGAGCTAAATCCCCAGCCCCCGACCCACTGGAATTAATTACCTTCTTTTTACACCATAATTGCTATGGCAATCTCAACTGTTATAGTCACTCTAATCCTTGATTCTTTTTTAGACTATAATTTCAAAATTCACTAAAAATTGGGAATCCATTGTTTCTTTCCTCTTCAATTTGCTTTTCCAGAAATGTTTTACTTCTTTTGTTAATGTATTCTGGAGAGAAGAGATTGACCTCAGGAATAAAAAAATGTTTAAGTTCTTCTTCCTTGAGCCTGTCGAGGAAGAAGCCCACACAGTCATCGAAGCAGCGGTGTAGGTCTTCGGGCTTCCAGAAACTGTCCCTCGGGTACTTGACACATAAGTGAAGGAAGGCAGTTTTCACATGGTAGGAACAAAACTTAGACAATTCTTCTCGTTTTTCAAACTTTTTTTTCAGCTGTTCCAAAAGGTATTTCATTAGTTTTAAACAGTCCTTCCTGTTTAATAAAAAAGCAAGCCATTTATTTCTACTTACTTACTACCTACATTATTTCTCATTATACTGCCAACTTTAGAAACTCAAAATGAGTAAATTTTTTTTTTTTCTCTTTTTGAGACAGGGTCTCACTCTGCAGTTCAGGCTGGCCTTGAGCTCACTTTGTAGCCCAGGCTGGCCTCGAACTCGGAATAATCCTCCTGCCTCAGCCTCCCGAGTGTTGGGATTACAGGCATGTGCTACCACACCCAGCAAGTAATCCTTTTCAACCTTACTTCTTTGTGGCATATATGGTACCAAGAAAAATAATAACCCAGTTAGTGTGATTTCAGCTTTGGCCAGAGAGTCCCTAGCTTTCAGTTTAGCCAAACCACCCCAAAGCGAGCACCAGTAGCCAGTGAGACCCCCCAAGCGTCCTCCTATGACATGATATTAATGTGCTCACCCCACCCCAGCCCTGCCCTCTCCCCCAAATGAACCAAGAAATGATCAAGTCCAAGCTACGTCAACCAAGAAGGAAACACACCACACTCGATCTGCCATTTAACAAAGTAACATTACCTGCAACATTTCTCTCCATCAGTCTCACAGCAACTTTTTGAGTTTCCATGATTATTCAAAATGTCCTTTTCGATGTGAGAGAAAGACAGCCGCCATGTCTCTTCTTCATTTCAAAAAGAACAGAAAAGGGCTTTACTAAAAGCATTCATATCTAAACAACATTCAAGTTGTGTTGTGTCTTTATTAAAATATGGTTCTGGCCTGTAATCCCAGCACTCAGGAGGCTGAGGCAGGAGGATCGTTGTGAGTTCGAGGCCAGCCTGAACTGCATAGCAAGACCCTGACTCAAAAAGACAATAAAATAAAATAAATAAGTAAGAAGTGGTTGGGCATGATGGTGCTCACCTATAAACCTGGCTACTTGGGAGGCTGAGGCAGGACAATCACATATTTGAGCCCAGCCCGGGCAATTTAGGATGTTTTTTAAAATACAGTTTGTGATATTTCTAGTAAAATGTTTGGAAAGAGAAAAACCAAAACGTAAGTGTCTCCTGGCCAGTACAAGTATTTTCACCGCCGGTAAGCCTCTCGGCTCAGTCACTGAGGTTCTCTCTCCCTCCCTCCGTCTCTCTCCCTCTCTCTCTCTCTCTCTCACACACACACACAGGGGCAAGGTCTTGTCTAACAGTAGACAGTGTGCAGTGATGAGAGACACAGGACAGTGCAGGGAATCTGAGGGCAGAGTTGGAGTTGCACACCCATCACTACCTTCCTTATCTGTCACCTGGATATAAAAATGTGCGGAGTGACCTGCAGTGCAGGCCTCCAGGGCCACAAAGGACTCTTTCTCCTCTGCACACTGGATTACCTTCCATTTTCCTTCCAGGCAGCAGAGGGCCAGCAAGCAGGTGGACTGCGATCCTGCTGAGATATCTGTTATCACATACAAGGAGGGTTTCTTGGGACAGCCAAGAAAATTGGTCAGGGATGAGCTCCTCTTTACAGAAAGCCACGTGCTGCTTGCGAAACCAAGGGGCTGGGGACTTAGCTCAGTGCGTGGTGTGTGCAATTCCTTCTTTCTGACTTTTTCATTTTTTTTGGTCTTTTTGAGGCAGGGTCTCGCTATGCAGTTCAGGCTGGCCTTGAGCTCACTTTGCAGCCCAGGCTGGTCTCGAACTCGCAATGATCCTCCTGCCTCAGCCTCCTGAGTGCTGGGATTACAGGCGTGCACCACCTCACCCAGCCTTTTTTCTGACTTTTTAAAAAACTTATTCGTAATTCCTCCTAATAAACTATGTCCTTGCAGAAAATGACTTTTATATTTATGCAATGTAAAAAATCATGTGCAGGGCGTGGTGGTGCCTGCCTAGAATCCTAGCACTCAGGAGGCAGGAGTATCACGATAAGTTTGAGGCCAGCCTGGGCTACAGAATGATTTGCCTTTTTTTTTTGAGTTAGGGTCTCATTATGCAGTTCAGGCTGATCCTGAACTCATTGTGTAGCCCAGGCTGGCCTCAAACCCGCAGCAATCCTCCTGTCTCAACCTCCCAAGTGCTGGGGTTATAGGTACATGCCACCAAGCCCGGCAGAGTGATTTATCATAAGAACAAAACAAAAAAGAAGTTCAGACGTGTCTACAAAAGATGCAAATCATCGAACTAAGAATGATGACTGTTCGGGCACCTTTTCTAGCGATACTCATTTATAATTTGGTTCATTAACTTTATGAGAGAAAGTTAGTCAGCTATTTTGTTTCCTACCACCTGAAAAAAAAAAAAAAAATATCACCACTGCTCAGTTTTAGCTGTCTGGTTCTTAGAACTTGGGTGTTACACACAGCGCAACCTGAGACCACCCTGATGGGGGAGGCCGGGACATGGAGACGGCAGCGCTCAGCACCCGGTCCCGATGGAGGCTGAGGCAGGAGAGTTCACGGGCTGCTGGGAGATGGGAAGCAAAGGGAAGGAGAGAAACAGGGTTAAGGGTAAGTAGCGAGGTGTCAAGGCTGCTGGCAATCACAGCAATGAATGGCCGTGCGCTGAGCGAAGTGAGGGCCTCACAGGTTCCAGCTCACTTCCATCTTCCCAAGCAGCTTGGATTAGCCCAGCAAAAAGATGCCTGATTGGGTGTGGTGGCGCACGCCTGTAATCCCAGCACCAGGGAGGCTGAGGCAGGAGGACTACTGTGAGTTTGAGGCCAGCCTGGGTTACGTAGTGAGACACTCTCAAAAAAAAAAAAAAAATCAATTCCCTCTCTCACCAAACTCTCATCTTGCGACCTATTTAGCCTGACAGGTTTCAAACTGCCAACAGCGTTAGCAGGCCGTTGGTCTGCCGCCCTTGCACGTAACATTAACAGCTCTTCTGTGTCTTCGCATTCGAAATACCTTGGAAACTTTGTCTTTCTTTCGCGTGCTTGGGTACAAGGTAAAACGGCTGTTGTCTTAGTTTAGTTCTGACTTTTCGTCCTAGCCATTCTCCGACGGGCAGCCCTTCCAAGGTCTTCGGAGGCCAGCTACTCCTTGATTCCAGGGCAAGGATTATATCCACGGATATTTCTTTAGGTTCTTTAATAACAAGTGTTACAGCAGGGCTCCCGGGTACTTTCCTCTGCATAACGATCTTTTTATCCGGTTTTTCCTGGAAGTGATGTAACTGAAGATCTATGAAATGTTAAGTAGAAAGTGAGTATCAGTTACAAAACAGAAACTGGCCCCACCAGGAAGGGTGTTTCCTCATTTGACCAACGTTTACTGACCACAACCGGGAGACACTAACACCATGCAAGGAGGGGCGTCTGGGATTAAACCTCAGGTAGAACTATGGGCGGCAGGGAGGAGGGGTTGGAAGGCCGCCCCAGCAGCAGCACAGCGCAGACACCGTGAGCAGCAAGACCCAGGGGACTCGGGGACAGCAAGGGGTCAAACCAGGGCTGGGCTGCGGCTTATTTAATTATTCAGTTCAATAAAGAGGTTTCAGCAGGTGGCACACGCCTATAATCCCAGCACTCAGGAGGCTGAGGCAGGAGGATAGTTGAGAGTTGGAGACCAACCTGGGCTACAAAATGAGCTCAAAGCCAGCCTGAACTGCGTAGCGAGACCCGGTCTCAAAAAGACAAAAATTTAAAAATGAAAGTTTTTAAAAATAGGGGGCTGGGGATTTTTTTTTTTGGGGGGGGGGCTGGGGATTTAGCTCAGCAGCACAGCGCCTGCCTGGCAAGCACAAGGTCGTGAATTTGATTCCCAGTACCAGAAAAAAAAAAAAAAAATTAAGAAAAATAAAGAGGTTTCACTCAATGGATCAGCGGGAGAGGCACTGAATCATGAAAGAAGAAGGCGGCCTGGGACCCGGGGACCCCGGGATCCCACAGCAGGTTTTTGCCCTCGGAAATACTTGCTGTTGATTCCATTCCCCAAAGCAGAAAGAGCAGGAGACAGAATGGCCGAGCTGAGCCAAACTGCACTTTAGGCGCCGTGAGCTCTACAGGCCCAAGCGCAGACGGTCACTGGACAGGTCGCTGTGCGGGTGAGCAGTGCAGGCGGCTTTGGGAGCCGGGGTGGGTGGGAGGAAAAGACTCCCAGGAGGAACCACAATGAGCGCAAAGGAGGAAATACGGGAGAAGCACACTGGCACAATTCCTAGTCCAGAGAAAGAGAAAAAAAACAAGAAGGACGCTGAGAACTAAAGGAAGGGAACCTTAACCCTGTGGACATGCTCAAGAATCAGCTGGAGTATACCAGGGACCCTGTGTCATCAAGGGGACGTCGAACGAAATGATTAATCATCCAGTTTTCTGTTCTCTTCCTTTATTTTGTGATCTTTTTGAGAGAGGGTCTCACTACACAGTTCAGGCTGGCCTTGAGCTCACCTTGTAGCCTTAGGCTGGCTTCAGACTCAAAGTGATCCTCCTGCCTCAGCCTCCTAAGTGCTGATTTCTGTATATTTCTTTTTTCTACTGGGAATTGAACTCACAACCTCAGGCGCTATGCCACTACGCTATATCCCCCAAGGGCTGGGATTACTGGCCTAATCATCCAGTTTTTGAAACCTACGTGTGTCATGACGTCAACTCTGTTAACCTCATGATGTCATCATTTCTTAAGTCTTTGACATACGAGTAAAACTGTTTCCTCTGTATTTAAAATGCTGGAGGAATCTGCATATCTGTGTACCTCTTACTGTTGCAGCTTCTGCCCTCCGGCCACCACTGAGAAGTACCCTCCACCTGTCAAAGGCTACCCGGCGTGCCTGCAGGGCCTGCTTCCCTTCCCCCTCCCTCCTCAGCACGATGCTCTTTGATTATTCCCTCTCCTGAATCGGCCATCTCTCCCTAGCCACAGGTTCATCCGCACGCTAAGGGTCGCCGCCTCCCACTCTGAAGTACCCCTCTGCCCTGGCCCTACATCCCCCTCCTGCCCACACTCACCCATTTCTCTGCTTCCTCTTTGTGTTCCCCAGGCTAGCCAGGCTCTTCCCCAACTGCTATCACTTTCATTCCCTCCGAGCACCCACTGCAGCTTGGTGTCTTATGCTGTTTACACTCTAGGTCCCCACTAGACGCAGGCTTCAATCAGGGATCCCACCAACTTCATCACAGTCCATACACCCAGAGCCCCCAGCAGCAGTGCAGGAAATAGTCAATGGAACCCACACCAGCCCGTGTGCTGCATCTTCTTGGCATGTGGAAAAATACCAAGAAGATACAGCAGACCGAAGCCAAGAGCAAACTGTTTCTAGCGGGAGATGAAACTCAACAGTCGGCTGCAGCAAGGTCAGGGGAGATCAGGAGAGTGGTGAGTGTATACTGGCAGTTAGTAGGCAGAATGAGAAGTTTCAGGATCAAAAGTCAAAAATCGGGGCTGGGGATTTAGCTCAGCGGCACAGCACCTGCCTGGCAAGCGCAAGGTCCTGAGTTTGATTTCCGGTACTGGAACCCACCCCCCCAAAAAAAGTCAAAAATCTTACCGGACGAAGTTGGTTTCAGTGAGTTGATTTTTTCAATTTCATCCTTAATGATTTTTCTAAATTTCGCCAGCACCCCAGAAGCTGATAATACTTCGTCTTCTACAAACTTACTCAGAGGGTTTCCTTTGGGATTTCTTTTGAATTTCACATAGTAAAAGGCACCGCTGTCAGAATATTCCTCTAGCTGAATTCTGGGGAGTTCCATTTTAAACATGACATCAAATTCATTAGGTGCAGAAATCTAGGAAACAGTCAAAAAAGGACCAAAATGTCTACTTATGAGTATTTTTTAAGCAACTGTAAGTTCTTCTAAAATTTCCCCTTAAAACCTTACTTTGAAAAGCAAAGATCTTTGGGGAGGCTGAGGCAGGAGGATCATTCTAAGTTCGAGATCAGCCTGGGGCTGGACTACAAAGTGAGCTCAAGGCCAGCCTGAACTGCACAGCAAGAGCCTGTCTCAAAAAGACCAAAAAAAAAAAAAAAAAAAGCAACAATCCTAACATTTAAACCCTCTGGGAACAGGACTACTGGAGCTGGGGCTAGGGGGAAAAGTACTGCTGCTTTTAATTTGCAGGTTCCACTCGCCATTCATTCATTCATATTCTCTCTCTCTCTCTCATCAGCAACCATTACTTTTATAATTAAAATAATTCTAGATCACAGAAAGTAATCTTTTAAAATCTACACCAGTTGGGGACAGGCGTGGTGGTGCACACCTGTAATCTCAGCCATCGGGAGGCTGAGGCAGGAGGAGCACTTCGACTTTGAAGCCATCCTGGGGCTACAAAGTGAGTTCAAGGCCAGCCTGAACTGCATAAGGAGACCCTGTCTCAAAAAGACAAAACAAAACAAAAAAATCTACACCAGTTGGGTTTTTCTGAGTTTAAAGTTTGATAAACTAAAACACCTTTTATGTCACAAGATACATACACGCTGCGGCCACCCTTCTGTTACCCCGACTGGCTGAGCAAGGGCACACTCATCACCGTCGCCAGAGATGCTCCAGGTCATGCACTACATTAGTGTCTGTGAGTCATATTGGTTCTAAAAGCTTTAAAGAATCTTCTTCTCCAAACTCAAAATAACTATTTAAAAATCATAATATTTATTTTTCCTTTATTAAGAATACTGTAAATCAGGCTGGGGATTTAGCTCAGCGGCAAAAGCGCCTGCCTGGCAAGCGCAAGGTCATGAGTTCGGTTCCCAGTACCGGAGAAAAACCAAAAAAAAAAAAAGAATACTGTAAATCTTTCCTTAGTTTTGGTATGCCTTCACAACTATTGGACTGAACTGTTTTTTTTTTTGTTTGGGGGGGTTGTTTGTTTTTTGAGACAGGGTCTCGCTATGTAGTTCAGACCGGGCTTGAACTCACTATACAGCCCAGGCTGGCCTTGAACTTGCAGCAATCCTCCTGCCTCAGCCTCCTGACTGTTGGGATTACAGGCGTGTGCCACCACGCCCGGCTGGACTGCACTGTTTAATACGGAACAGAGTGATCTATTTACTACACAAAATATAGCAAGCCCAAACTCAAAGATACCATGCAGCAGGTTCCCCAAATCCACAAGTTGAAGTTCTAACCCACCATGTGACCATATTCAGAGACAAGGCTTTTAGGCAATAATTGAGGTTAAATAAAGCCATAAGGCAGGGGCTCTAACTGATCTGCCTAACAAGCCGAAGAGCGTGGGTGCGCCCATGCGCATGCGCACTGAGGGCCGACACTGAGGACACACAGCAGGAAGACAGCCGGAAAGAGGATGACACCTGACCTCAGACTTCTGGCATCTGGAACTGTGCATGCACAGCTTGACTGCTTAGGACACCCAGTCCAGGGGCCAGGGACATAGCTTGGTGACAGAAGCGCCTGCCTGGCAAGCGTAAGGTCCTGAGTTCGATTCCCATTACAAAAAAGAAACAAAACCAGGCGTGGTGGTGCACGCCTGTAATCCCAGCACTCGGGAGGCTGAGGCAGGAGGATCGCTGCGAGTTCAAGGCCAGCCTGGGCTACAAAGTGAGCTCAAGGCCAGCCTGAACTGCATAGCGAGACCCTGCCTCAAAAAAGAAAAAAAAAAAAAAAAAAAAAAGACACCCAGTCCATGATACTTGGTCATGGGCAGCCCGAGATGAGGAGGCCATGCTGTGAGGGTGAAACGCCCTGGCGGAACATCAGGGGACAGGTGAAGTTAGAACCTCCAAAAATCTGTTATTTCATAAAGCCAGTAAGAGCACAGGCAGAAATCATCAAATTCAACTTTTTCAGAACTCTAAATAAAGTAAGTAAAAATTTGCAACAAATGAAAGAGGATTTATTCAAGAAAAACCATTGAAGCTGGATGCGCTGGCCCATACCAGCATATCCAGCTTCCACACCAATAATAATCCAGATTATTGTTTAATCCCATCATTTCGGAAGGATAAGGCAGGAGAATCACAAGTTTAAGCCTACTCTGGGCAAGTTAGCAATTTAATGAGATCTTGTCTCAAAATTTAAAAATGGGGTAGGAATGGTGAAGACCCTGGGTTCAATCCCCATGTTGGGAATTTGCCCCAGACTCAATCTGTTGGTGCAGAGAATAAAGCACTCAGACACCAAAAAATCTCGACCAGGCAAGGTTTTACTCTGCAGAAGGGCCCGCGAACACTCTAGCATGAGGTGGCAGGCACACAGGGAGGCCAGCAGCAGGCTTTTTTTTACCCTAATGAGTGAGAAGCAGCCGACCTTTTCCACCATTGGCTGGCTTGGAGGTTCCCAATCTATCCCAATTGGCTAGTTTTAAGGGGTGTGAAGAGAGGACCTGAAGGGTTGCTGGGCAGGGTGGATAAGGTGAGCAGGCAAAATAGTCGAGTACCGAGTGTGCTGTGCCATTGTAACCAGCCTATTTCCACCCCCCTGGGCTCAGAAACACCCCTGTTCCCACTTGCCATCTGGGAATCTCCAGAAAGGGTTATTCAAACAGCACAGTCGGTCTGCCTCCTTCGGCAAGTCCCGTAAGTGGAATCAGATAATGTTTACTTTTTAAATACCTATTTTCTTGATCTAGCATTACATCTGTGAGATTTAACATATTGTTGGATTTACTGGTACTTTGTTCTCTGTCACTCTGTATAGTACTCCACTGAATCAACAAAATACCAAATTCATTCATTCATTCATTCTGTTGATGGCTGAATCAGTTTCAGTTCTGCTGGGGACAGAACCCAAGGCCTTTCACAGTGGGTAAGAGCTCTACCACTCCAGCTTTAACTACCGTAATGCTGTTGTGTGCTCTCTTGTATACACCTTTAGTGGACAACACACTCATTTCTACTGAATGTATACGAGGAGTGCAACTGTTCCACCACTGAACAGGCAGTACTTTAACTTCAGAAGATATCAAGCCTCTGTGTCTCTCTCAATCTCCCTCTCCCCCGGCCCGCTCTCTGCCCACCCCTCCCCATCGTCCTCTAAATTCCCCAGGTTGACCTCGAATTTGCAATCCTCCTGCCTCAGCTTCCAGAGTAGCTGAGATTCCAGATGTGCACCACCACACTCAACAAAATTAGTAATGTTCTAAAGAGGTGGTATCAACAATGTAAAAGCATTTTTTCATCAACAGCATGAAAGAGCCAGGCGTGGTAGTGCATGCCTGTAATCCCAGCGCTCAGGAGGCTGAGGCAGAAGGACTGAAGCAAGCTTGGGGCCACCCTGGGCTACAAAGTGAGCTCAAGTCCACCTGAATTGTGTAGGGAGATCCTGTCTCAAAAAGACAAAAAAAAAAAAAAAAAAAAAAAAAAAAAGTAAAAGAATTTCAGTGACTCCCACATCTCCTGCAACACTTAGAATTGTCAGGTTTTGCTTTGTCATCTTAGTCACTGTTAACTTCAGCCATCCCAATGGACAGGGAGAATTTCACCATGGGTTTAATTTGCATCTCCCACATGATTAACGCTGTTCAGCAACTTTCATATTTATTTCTATTCGAATTGCATATGAAACTATTCAACACTTTTGACCAACTCAAAACTCATTTGTTCGTCTTTCTTCTTATTGGTCTGTATGAATCCTTTATCAAATATATGTACTGTAAATATCTTCTCCACGTTGTGGCCTGACTCTTTCAATAAACATGTATTAATTCTAATAAAGTCCAATTTGATTATCATTTGTGATTAGCAACCTTAGCACCACCCTCTTTAAAAATAGAGCATCCCAGGGCCAGGGATCTAGCTCAGTGGCGCACGCACCTACCTGGCAGCGCAAGGTCCTGAGTTCGATTCCTGGTACCAAAAAAAAAACCAGCATCCCAAACTGGGCATGGTGGTACATGCCTGTAACCCCAACACTCTGGGAAGCTGAGGCAGGAGGATCTCAAGTTTGGACCCCGCCTTGGCAATTTAGCAACTTACTAAGACCTTGCCTCAAAATAAAAAAGGGTTGGAGATGTAGCTCAGTGTGAAGGCCTGGGTTCAAGGAGGGTGGAGGGGAGGGAGGGAACCCATATGGTTATCTGGCTGACTCACCGCCATTATGAAAAGGTGTCCTTCTCCCTCCTGAATACTTGGGTGTTTCTATTATGTGCTGTAGGAAATTACTGTACACGTGTGGGTCTGTTTCTGGACTTTGCAGTCAATGGGCCATCTGTCTGTAACTGCACCAGTAACACCACTTCATCAGGACAGCTTTACACTGAGTCTCGCTGTCCGGTAGGGTACATCTTCTACCGCTTTCTCCTTTACGATGGTTTTGGCTATGCTGAATTCTTTGCATTTCCACATAAATCTTTCCCTCAGTTTGTCAATTAAAACCCTGATGGGATTTTGACTGATACCGTACCGAACATGGAGCATCGATCTGAGGAAAACTGAACATGCTATAGCTCTCCCTTCCTTAGCTCCTCTTCAGATTTATGCACTACTGTTTTGAAGTTTTGAACATCTTTAGTCAGATTAACTCCTAAATATTTTGTCCTTCATGCTATTGGAAATGGTATTTTATTTGTTTTCAGTTTTTTTGATAGCATATTGAAATAGTTTGATTTTTTTTTTTTTTTTGTCTTTTTGAGACAGGGTCACACTATGCAGTTCAGGCTCATCTTGAACTCACTTTGTAGCCCGGGCTGGCCTTGAACTCGCAGCGATCCTCCTGCCTCAGCCTCCCGAGTGCTGGGATTACAGGCATGCGCCACCACACCAACTTTTCATTGTGTTCAGCAACCTTGCTAATTAATAATTTTACAAAAACCTAATCGGGTCATCTGTCCTTAGTTTTATTACTCCTTTTGCAGCCTTCTACGTTTTTCTTTTTTTTCTTTGGTACCGGGAATCGAACTCAGGACCTTACGCTTGCCAGGCAGTGCTTATGCCACTGCGCTATATCCCCGGCCCCTGCATTTTACTTTTTTTTCTTCCCTGTTGCATTTACCGGAATTCGGGCTCCATCCCTTTTCTTTTTCTCCCTCCCACGCACCACTGAACCCTCTGCCACCGAGGGAGGGCGCCGGCACCCCACCTCCCTCTGCTCCCCTTACTCCTTCCACACAGATTTAAATGCACAGACACCCCAACTCCACCCCACCCCCGCCAGCAGACAAAAGAGGAAGGACAGCGGTGGCAGCTGCGGCGGGCCTGGTTCTGGTCACCAACTGGCTCGGTGTCACAGTGCTGTGTCGCTGTTGTTTCTGCAGAGCTGGAAACACCATGAGCTGCTGCGCTGCAGCTGGGGAAGTGCAGAGGCAGAGGCAGGAAGAGCACTGCCCAGCAGCATGGGAGGACAGGCACTGTGGGTCCCTTTCTCAGACAGCTGTCCGGTGTCCTAGCACCCCTTCCAAGGTCACTGTGGACTGGGGATGAAAGTCTAACCCACCCCCCAACCCCGGGGAGACCCAGGCCAATCTCACCCCAGCGCGTTGGGTTGGGGGCACAGGGAGAGGTCAATTCGTGCACAGGGAAGGAGGTACGGGTGGCAAATCCTTTATCTGCAAGGCCTTGGACACGCAGGGCTTCAGGTTTGGGAGTTTGGGGATTTCCAAACGTTTGTGTGTCCTTAAGCAGTCGAGCATCCCTAATCTGAAACAACTGGAAATCTTTTGAGCACCAACAAGACTTTCCCATCAGGCATTCACAGCTTGTGAAAGGAGCTGGGTAACCCCCTACAGGACGAGTGAGTGAGGGGAACGTTACCAACTACGCTTCAAATCTGCCACAGGATGGGTGTGGTGGAGCACGCCTGTAATCCCAGCACTCGGGAGGCTGAGGCAGGAGGATTGCCACGAGTTCAAGGCCAGCCTGGGCTACAAAGCAAGACCTGTCTCCCAAAACAATGAGAGAGAGAGAAAGAAAGAGAGAGAGAGACAGAGACAGAGACAGAGACAGACAGAGAGAGAGAGAGAGAGAAAGAGAGAGGGGAGTTTATAATTCCAAAACCCTAAATCTAGGTTTTACAACTATCTGCCTATTGCAAAAGAGCAGTCAATTCAATAAAGCCAATTTATAATCCTCAAATAAATTGGTTAAAATGTTTACGTAATAAACACATGCTACCGGTCTGTATTTCCACTTATCCCACGCCCTAGATTCCACCCAAAGTAAAAGGAGATGCAGGGCCAAAGCTCAGGAAACAGGCTGAGCCGACTGTCATGGCACACCTCCATAATCCCAGCACTCGGGAGGCTGAGGCAGGAGGATCGCTGCGAGTTTGAGGCCAGCCTGGGCTGCAAAGTGAGCTCAAGGCCAGCCTGAACTGCATAGCGAGACCCTGTCTCAAAAAGACCAAAAGAAAAGAAAAGAAAAGAAAAGAAAAGAAACAGAAAACAGACTGAGCAGGCCAAAACCACAACGAAGCTCCAGTCAGGAACTCGCGCCCCCAGACCTCCCGCGGACACGTGATCATGGGCACGACCCAATCACTCAGAAAGGGGCTGAAGAACACACCCTTAACACTACTCTGGAAGAATGTATCCGTGTATCCAGGAATAATGCTTTTTTGGTATCTTTCTTTTATTTGCTTATTTAGGGAAGTGCTAGAGATCAAGTTAATTTTTTTGAACATCTCTCCCTGTGAGCTTCCGTGACATCTTGGTAAGGTACTGGAAAGCGGCTGGGATGAGTAGAGCTCAAGGCAAGCATGAAGCTCTGGGTTCAACCTCAGCACAACAACAAAATAAAACTCGTTGCGGGGGTTGGGGGGGCGGCGACCTGCTGCACAGATGTCCTCGTCATAGAAAAGAGTTTCTTAGATATATTAATTTGGTGGCATTTCTCCCAGACCACAGGTCAGTCTTTCAAAAAAGTGGTCTGTGCCATCCCTGCACACCGGTCAGGGAACTCTGCGCCTGTGCGCTCGCGCGCACGAATCTGCAAGCGCAAACGCTCCCCAGACGTCCGGGTTACACTGGGACTAGGATGAGGGTTAGGGCCCAGCGTGGCGGCGCACGCCTGTAATCCCAGCACTCGGGAGGCTGAGGCAGGAGGATCGCTGCGAGCTCGAGGCCAGCCTGGGCTACAAAGTGAGCTCAAGGCCAGCCTGAACTGCATAGCGAGACCCTGTCTCAAAAAGATCACACACACACAAAAAAAGGATTGGGGTTAGGGAGCTGGTTGGCTGCACCCACGAAGGAAGGAGCGCCGCTCTTCCCGGAAAGGGGCGCGGTGCCGGGGAAGCGCAGGCGCCCGGGGCGGGGAGCTCACCTTCACGCGCTCGTAGTAGCTCCCGGAGCGCAGCACCGACGCCCCGCAGAACTCGGAGGCCTGCAGGGCCCGCTGCAGCTGCTCCACCAGCGCGTTCACCGCCCGCGCCGCCGCCGAGATCTCCTCGCTCCGCAGGCGCAGCCGCTTCAGCACCTGCTGCAGCTGACGGTCGCCCGGCGGCGCCCCGACCCCG